TGTGCCAATAGCGTTTATCACTTTTCGTTGTGCTAAAAATAAAGAAGAGACGCCATTGTCGATATGAAACGCCCTTTTTAGAGTATGTCAAATAAGAAAATGTGACATTGATCTGTACTGAGCGAAAGAACCGTCAGGATTGAACGGTATCTTAATCACACTTAGTCTTTTCCTCAACACTGAATAAAAAAGTAAAATCCTTATTTTTACTCGCCGACAAGAATAGAATGAAGTATGATAAGAAGAGACATTAAGTGAACCCGTTGTTGTACAGAAAAAAGAGACTTTCCTGTTATACGTTAGTAAAATTACTTTATGTACACTTCTTTACACCCGCGTCAGCTACTAACCCAACAATGCCTGAAGAAGAGAACTTTTTCCATGTCCAACACGTCCAACTACGGTAACAAGCTGTCCTTTTGTGACGGTGAAATTGACATTAGAGAGGGCCGCTTCCGTCTCAGTCTTATCCCACGCCAAACTTAAGTTAGAACACTTGATAACTTCATCATCTGAAAGCGGAGGACGTTAAATAAAGCAAGGATGAAAAAGATAGGACTCACTATCCCTAGCAACGCTGTCTACACACATCGGTGACAGTTCCTCTGATATCAGAAATTCAGTGAGCCGACGGTTTGACACAACAACCTTAGTATCACAAACATCAAGACAGATTTATTCTGCAATGAAGAGCTCGTACTATTTACCTGGACTGTTTGCGTGATCATTTCTGCAACCTGTGACATAGGAGTTCGCAACTGGTTAAATAGTGTGAGGGAAACAAAGGCAATTTCAGGAGTGAGGACGTTCTTAGGATCGAGTAAGATAAAAGTACTAAAGGTGGATAAGGCAACCTAGGAAAAAGAGGTAAAAGTGAGACAAAGAATCTGAAATTCTGATAACCAATTATACCAGGAATGGGGAAGCTGAATTAAACATATCCGAGAGGGTTCGAAGCAGAGCAGCCTTACGAATGAGAGCTAATTCTTTCTCTCGCAGCTCTGTGACAACCTTCTCCATAGGTGGTTCCCATGCGTATAATTTTATCACCTGAAGTGGGTGAACAGGAGCTGATGGAAATGACTGGAGGCTAAATTTCATAGATTTATTTACTTTGATGCCGTTT